TCGATTATAACACTTGTGCAACTTTTTGTATTAAACTTGATTGCTGTCTATGTCAGTTTGCAAACTTTGTCAGTTTGCAAGAAAGAAATGTCCATGATTTCAGTGTGGTGAGAGCATAATCATTCAAATGTTGTTAGTCCGTGCAAATTTCGATCCGACCGAATTACTTTTTTATCATTATACGACTGGTCAGCAAACCGGTTAGGAGGAAAACTCCCTATGATTTCAGTGCTGAATCATTTTTATCGCACCACCAAACTTCGCAAGTGATAAATGGCGAATGATCGGTCGAGTCTATGGCCGTTTTTTGAACTCATTTGAAGGTTTAACGATGGTCTGGCGCCTTCATAGCTCTTCTTTTCCTCTCCAGTTTTTTCCAGCCAGCTTCGTATTTGCGAGTATCTTCAAAAATTACCTGTCATCTTTTGATTTCAAAGACGAATGCGTAGGTTGGTCGATTAAAACGACCTTTGACTTTGCGCTGATAAGTTATCGTTTCAAAGCGTCCAGCAGACTCGCACGGGTATGGCGTGATGATTGTCGTCTTATAAAATCACCACTGCGCTCCCTTTTGCCCTTGTCTGTATCGCATTCTGACGGGCCTTCACAGTTTTGTTGATTTTAAAGTTCATTTGCACGTGTTGTAGTACCAGACTCGATATTAGACTCGTTTGTGCAGTTATTTTACGCATAACTGCAGATATGTCTCCAACGGTGGGGTTCAACGATGTTTTCTTTGGTTCTTGGAGCCTCGAGAAAACTGATAACTACATGTCTCATTGGGTACCAACCTCATACAAAGTAATTATTTTTATACACAATAACCTCAAATTAGCGCTCATTGCTCATTGTTGTTCCAGGTAGCTGTTGCCTACTTGTTGGCAATTTATCTCGGTCAAAAAGTGATGCGAAATAGGAAACCGCTTGAACTTGACACACCATTAGCATTGTGGAATTTTATGTTTTCGCTATTCTCTGGAGTAGCTGCTTATAAATTGATTCCTGAGTTATTACATGTATTCAGTAAGGATGGATTCGTAGGTGAGTGACAAGCTCTTTTTACACATCGGTTTCGAAGGCATTCGAAATATCTTTGATGCATAAAAATCACCTTGGCTACTTTAACTCTGAAACTCGCCATGACAATTACTATATATGGCATGCTGAAGCATGAGCAAGGATTTGCTTG